TCTCACGAAGTTTGAAACAAGCAAGTCATTTAATTAACCTCGACGAAGCACTGAAACAACAAGTTGCAGATCCGGAAGGCGGCGATGCCGAGAAGATCTCAGCTTCGTCTGGCGACGGTGGATAGAGCCGTGAAAAACGAAGGACAAAGTGCCAACACGTGAAGCGGATTGGCTGTGCATAAGATTGGGCAAAACCTGGAGATTAATGACGATCGTCGTTGGGCTGCAGCTTTAGGTTGAAGGTATCACCAGAAGAACCAAGAGATGGGCCCTTTTGAGTGGCACTCAAATACGTCATTTACGTCCATCAAGCATATGCTCAGGTGGGGAAGACGCTATAAAACTGGCTGAAAGCAGCTGTAATGGGACTTTATGAGTACTTTGAGCTCAGAGTACGATGGGTGTTTCAGGTGAGCAGGTTTTGGTACCATCAAGTACTGGCAGGGTACTACCGTCTAGCCCATTTGGTGCAACTGCCTGCAAGCTCTTGGCGAGCCCGGGCCCCCTCCCTTCCACCTCCAAGATTCAGTTGATTGACTGCATCATCCATCATAAACAAACACAAACCAATATCACTAAACATTAATCACGGGCCAAAAAATCTTGACTGTGCTCCAAACCAACTTTCATGACTTGTTGACTCAGGCCGTAACCACGTTTGCTCTTTTTATAGGTATAGACGATTCAGTTGTGTGCCGAGTTTTCCACTTGTAAAGGTCTAACGCAGGTGCTTCAACCGACTAGAATCTAGGTCATCCATCCCTCTTGATCTATTGTGGAACACAGACAAACAGAGAACCCTTGATCTTCAATCAATTACCCGCTGATTCTCACATCTCTACTCCACAATAGAAGCTGTCTGCTTCCGCTCGTCCTGCTCCAGTACATACAAATCCAATTAAACCAAACGAAACAGAAAGCCAAGAACCAAGGTGCGTCTTTCGTCGATTCAACATCATCATTTGTCTCAGAAGGTTCCTCCACTGCAGAAAAGACGCTAGTCTCACTCGAACGGGCCTCTAGTTTCGGTAGCGTCACACCTGCCAGCGGTCAGTTGTGCGCCCATTGCGTCAACACCACCATCGTCCCGCGAATCCAACACCCTGATTTTCTGAATCTGGCTCCTGTCGGATTCGCCCTCAGTCTCAGTGCTCCTCCACTCGGCACCATCACTCACTGATCACTAGTTAATTGACTGTTTTAGGTTCTAGGCTCGTTTCCAGCTTCTCTGCCTTTGCTTCCGTCTCGGGTCGTCCTCAATCTCCTTGTGGTCCATTCCGTCCGTCGTTTCTGTTTCTCTCTTTAGTCTCGCACAGTCCATTATCTTAGCTCAGCTCAGACTGCTCCCAGACGTACCGTAGGAGAAATAACAACGCCACCTCCGCCATGGATCTACCTTCTTCTCACTCCCAATCTCAACCTTCGTCATTTCCCCAACAACCATCTTATACATACTCGCACGAGCAAGATTCTTATCCAGAATCATCACCTGCAGCTGCCGCCAACAACGCACACACATACTCAAGTCCCCAATACGACGACGAATACCACCTCTCAAACTCGATCCACGCACCGCAACCGCAGTCGCGACAGCCAGGTCGTTTCACCGAGGAATGGGGTGCAGCGCAGCGAGGACCTTCTTTACTATTTGATCACTCTACCAACGTCGCAAACATGCAGCGTAGCAACTCGGTACATAGCTACGTTAGTGGCGATGACCAGCAGCTTCCGGGTCGCCAGAACACTCTCAAGAAAAAGAATTCGGTGCGCCGAAATGGAAGCATGAAGCGCAGTAGCAGCCGTCGCAGCATGAGAGCTGGTAGTGTCAAGAGCCTTGCTCTGCAATCCTCCTCTGACCATGATGAGGGTCATAGTGCCTTCTACTGCCCGGTTCCTACTTCAGGCAACCCAACCGAAACACTTTCCAACCGTTTCCAAAACTGGAGAAAGGTGCTCAAGGATCTCATCGCATACTTCCGTGAGATTCAAACTCACTACGAGCACCGATCCAAGTCCCTTCTCAAGCTCGCCAATGTCTCCAACAACATTACCACCCCACCTGGCTTTCTTCAGTCGGCTGGCATAGATGACGCCCTCCAATTCCTTAGGGATTATAACAAGAACGCCATCCTCGAAGCCAACAAGGCCAAGGACATTGAAGAGGATGTAATTCTTGCGCTCACTGGTTTGCGAAGTGACCTTCAGCAAAAAATCAAGGAGATCAAGAATCTTTCAGGCGACTTTAAAAACTCGGTCGATAAGGAGATGGATCACACTCGCAAGGCTGTCAAGACTCTCAGTGATATCTTGGGGCGAAACGAGTTGGATGAATCTTCCACAACTGGCAAGCAAGACCCATACCTGTTGCGTCTGGCTGTCGACCGCCAAGTTGAGCGTCAATTGGATGAGGAGAACTATTTGCACCAGGCTTACCTCAACTTGGAAAACTCGGGACGAGAGCTAGAGGCGATTGTCGTCGGCGAGATTCAAAAGGCTTATAATGCTTACGCCGGCATTCTCAAGCGAGAGGCCGACAACTCTTATAACCTTATTGGCGAATTACGAGAGGGCCCCATTGCCATGCCTAAGGACCATGAATGGATGCACTTTGTGACACACGATGACAAGTTTGTGGACCCGAGCATTCCACTCAGGACTCCGGACCAGATTCACTACCCCGGACAGGACCACGAGGCAGCCCAGGAGATTCGAGCCGGATTGCTGGAGCGGAAGAGCAAATACCTAAAGAGCTACACAGCCGGCTGGTGAGTTTTTGTCCTCGCGCAATAATGAACGAGACTAACTTTGACGATAGGTATGTACTTTCTGCTACGCATCTTCACGAGTTCAAGACCGCGGATAAAGCGCAAGCCCCCGTTATGTCACTTTATCTTCCAGAACAGAAAGTAGGATCACACTCCAACGAAGGTGGCTCGTCGAACAAGTTCATCCTCAAGGGTCGCCAAACAGGTGGTATGCACCGTGGACACACCTGGGTATTCCGTGCCGAGAGCCACGATACTATGATGGCTTGGTATGAGGATATCAAGGCCCTTACGGAGAAGACCGCCGAGGAGCGAAGCCAATTCGTACGCAGCCATTCGAGAAGCCTCAGCCGATCTTCCAGACGATCAGTTAGTAGTGATGGACTGGTCGATGACGAAGACGAGGAGCCTTTCACGGCTGATACCGAATCATTTACCAACCCGGGATTAAGGCAACACGAAGCGACCCCCCGGCGATCTCAAGCAGGTGGGCGGTTCCCATCTGATATCCAAGTCAATAAACAGCGTGGCTTACAGGCCCCTCATTCGCCTTCTAGTTTAAGCTCTGGCTTCCAGGACAACAAGGACCCCGTGGTACCTCCGATCGTCACGGGTGGTCTTTCTGGTCCGGCCGCCGGAGAATCACAGCAGACTCGGGACTACGGTACTGTTCACCAGACCCCCTTGGATGAGATGCCCTCTGCTGCTGCTATCGCGAGCCAAAAGGCTCACTACGACGGTGTTAACCCTTACACAAGCGAGCCGGTTAACCAGTCTCCTGCTGGACCGACTTCCTTCAACCAACAGCAGCAATATGAACCGCAGTATGAACAGCAGCAGCAACATCCCGTTCAACTGTCGGATTATGTTGCTCAGAGCCACAACCAAACTTTTCTTCCAGTTATGATTCCTCAGGGTAAGGATGAGCACAACGACGATTTGGCCAATAACGAACAGCCTCATTACCATGAGCAGCCTAACGACTACACCATGGAGCCACGAGAGGAACTATATGGTAGAGATGCCATGAGCGGAAATGTCCATCAGACATCAAGCTATCCGCAGGCTTCATACGAGCCACAACCTTCTTATGACCAGCAGCCCAACTACGGTCATACCAACGGCAATGCTAACGGTGGTGCCAAAGTCAACAACTACACTTTAACAACAGTGGGAGAGGGTTTCCCTAGACTTGATGGTGGCGCGACCCATGAGACTCAGCCATCAACTCGAAAGGCCGAATCAGTGTACACGGAGCGTGACTCAGTTTTGCTCCAGACAGACGATGAAGATGAGACCCCTATGCCTACACGACCGTCGGTTAACAACCGTACCGAGAGCCATAACACTATCTCAAACTTGCACATTCCTGGCGGATACCCAAAGAGCAGTTATGCAGCATAAGCAAGATTTTCGTTGGCGTCTTTATTTTCCCTTTCTTTAGCTTATTATCTCCTTGGTCAACTGTGTATGAATGGGACGGACAAAGATGACTAGTACTGAAGAATGGGCAAGATGTGGTAAAAGGGCTGGAAAGCAAGTGTTATTGCTGGGAGGCGTTGGCTTCAGTGTGAAGTTTAGGTGGAATAATTATGGTTATTGGGATATCCCTCGCTTAGTTTTGTATTTGCTTATCACTTGTATCGGCTTTCAAGATATCTGTAGTCTGCAGCAATTGATTTGAAAAGTATACCGCGTTTACAAGAGAGCAGCCTGCTTATCGAAATAAGTTAGACACTTGAAGCCTAAGTCAAAGCCATAATTGTTCGTGACTTTTCTCGCCACAACCCATGCTAAGAGGCAGCAGAAAACATGTGACTCCATCATAAGGTAATGAAAACATTTAATCTTAAAGGCTGACGCAAACTATTACAAGGTGATTAGGTTATTCTGCTCATCACTCTAATACAGTCAAGTTTTTTTTTACTATCTGAAGACCTGCATGAAGCCGGCTGATCTAATCTTCCGCTCCGGCTCATGTCAACCAATAGGATTGCTCCAAGCTAGCTCCCGCCAGACCTTCGGTGGACACTCTCTTTGCAAAATTTCACTCGGGAAAAAAAAAGTTAGAGCATCGACCTACGCGGACGACCAAATCTTGACGAAGCGACCCAAAACCCCCAGCTACGGGCATTAATCGAAACAAGGACAACGAGCGTTCGGATCGCGAATCCTTAATTCATCAAATTCATCACAATTGGCGACTAAGCGCAAACTCGATTATTCTTCATCATCATGTCTTTCCGAGGAGGTTCGCGAGGACGCGGCGGCGGTGGATTTGGAGGTGGCCGTGGCGGTGGTACGTCTTTTTCTTCTTCTTATCCTGACAGGTCGCACCTGAGAACATTGGTGGTTCAGAATGAGGGAACCGCCAAGAGCAGAGCAATTGAGGCTGGAGACTGCGATGGATAACTGTTAAAGAGCGGAGTTCGCATTCGCAAGACAATGTACTAACAAACATATTATAGGCCGCGGTGGTTTCCAGCAGCGAGACATGGGCCCTCCTGCCCAGATCCTTGGTAAGTTCTACTACCATGACATCTATTCTTCTCAACGTGTCAACAACTAACGCCTCTCAGAAATGGGCAAGTTCATGCACGCCTGTGAGGGCGAGATGGTCTGCGAGTCCATCAACCCCAAGGTCCCCCACTTCAACGCCCAGATCTTCCTCGAGAACAAGACGGCCGTCGGCAAGGTCGACGAGGTCCTTGGCCCCATCAACCAGGTCTTCTTCACCATCAAGCCCACCGAGGGCATCCAGGCCACCTCTTTCAAGGAGGGCGACAAGTTCTACATTGGCTCCGAGAAGCTCCTGCCCCTCGACAAGTTCCTTCCCAAGCCTAAGCCCCCGCCTGGTGCTCCCAAGCCCAAGCGCGCTGGCGGCGGTCGTGGCGGTGCCCGTGGTGGTCGCGGCGGCTTCGGTGCTCGCGGTGGCGGTCGTGGTGGTTTCGGTGGTGGTTTCGGTGGTGCTCGCGGCGGCGCTGGCGGTTTCTCGCGCGGTGGTGGCCGTGGAGGAAGCAGTTTCGGTGGCCGTGGAGGTCGCGGTGGCAGCGGTGGTTTCTCACGAGGTGGTGGTGGCGGCGGAGGCTTCAGTGGTGGTCGTGGACGTGGTGGTTTCAGCCGTGGAGGCCGATAATCTCCTAACGACAACAAGGACCACGGATCACTTCTACTACCGAGGAGGACGAAGTCATGCCTCAAACTGCTGCTGTAGTACAACGCGACCCACGAAAGCCGTTTAAAGGGAGGCGAAGTCGATAAAGAGAGAAAACTTCGGGATTTAGGAGGCGGGAAAGAAAGAAAGGGATCACATGTATTTTCTCTGGCGTTGGATGGTTTCTGATTTTCCAAAGTGCTTTGCTTGATTTGGTTTCCCCCCACTGGCTCTATATCCCCAATCCTGCGATGTTCGTGTGGAGTTTGTGTTTACAAACATGAGGATTCAACAAAGACAAGCGAGAGGACGAAAAGAACGGGCAACCTTTTTACTTCAGTTATTTCATTGTGAAAGATATATGTACACTGTGAAGGCATTATGTAAAGTCATATGCACGCTCATGGGGTATAAGTAGGCTCGCAAGCCCCCAAGCTATTTCAACGCCAGGCAAACAATTCATGAAATCAATCCCTGCGACGCCGAAGCAATGCCGCGCCAAGTAGACCAAGGGCCAGGATGAAGGCCAGCCCACCAAGTCCCAGACCAAAATACTGTGCGTCGCGGTACCCTCCCAAAGGATTCCTATTGTTTTTCTTTCCCATTTCTACAGCTCCTGCCATACCAAGTCCAACAGAAAAAGAGAATGCTGCCGCCATGTTGGCAAGGCTACTTGCAAGTCCCAGCTGTCCTTCAGGGACATCTCGCCCGAGCACTGTCGAAGCGGATGGGATTATCAAGACCATACCAACTCCCATAAAGATAGCACTAACAAACGAATTTGCCCAATACTCCTGTTTTGCTGGAGCTGTAGCCATCAAAGCGGAACTGATCAAGATTGCTATTGACGAACTCACCATAGCAAGCTGGGCGGTGAAGTCGCGGTTTGCAAAAGGCCAGCAGGCAAAGCCAACAACAACGCCGATTACTAGTATCGGTACAAGACCAGCGCTCGTGAGTAGAGGCCCCCATCCTCTCAAAGCTTCGATAAACTGGGCAAAATACCAGACCCAAATCCCAAACGCTGCCGAAGCGGCAGTCACAAAGCCAAGTGTAATACCAGCAGTGATGTGAATTTGCTTGAATGGCACCAGAGGATGGCTAGCTTGGGACTCGGAGTAGTTGAACAATGGAATGAGCAATAATCCTGTAAAAATTAAGATGTATGCTTCCGGGGTGTCCCATCCTACAATGGGTATTTGGTTCCAGCCAACACTGAACAGAACCAATGCAGAAATGCCAGTTACAGAACCAAATACATCTAGGCGTTTCCAAAGGTTGCCTTCGAAATTATGGACCAAAACTCTTTTGGCAGGAACCACAAGCATGCTTGAGATACCGAGGGCCATGCAAACTGCAGCTAAGCAGTAGAAAGCCCATGGCCAGGACGCATATTTGGCGAAAAGCCCTGTCATGACGGAGCCAACGACGAACCCACAAGGGGCAGAGGCATCGAACAGGCCCATAGCAACCATCTTGCGAGGTCCGGGAGGATAAGCCCTGAGCAACAATCCATAGCCATTGGGAATAATGAGTGCTGGGCCAATGCCTTGCATTGCACGACAGATACAGAAGAAGACAGCTCCTCCGAAACTGTGCACATACACGCTCAGACCGGTCAAAAGACTCCAGAGCGCAAACCAAAAATAACCGGCAACAAAGGCTTGTCTCTGGCCACATACGTTTCCGATCCGATTTCCCAGAAGGATTGTTGCAGCATAACTCAGCATGTATGCCGAAGTAAACCACGCAAGGTGTGTCGTACGCTCTGGTTCGAAGAATGATTCGCCAATTCGTCGTGCCGATGTCAAAGTTTGCGCAAGGCTAGCATATGTCAGGAGCTGGGCCATGCAGATGACAGTAACGAAGAGGCCCTCATTGCAGGGGTGGTTAAACACAATCTGTCTGGCTCCTTCGTTGAGAGGTTTCCTGCGCAGACCCTGGGTAGCAGATGAAGCCGAATATGGATCAGAGCCTGCGCGTATATGTGTAACTGTGCCTAGTGGTAACTCCCGGGTACCCATATCAGGTCTGAGAACCATGTATTGATGATGCTGCGTCGTCGATCTGAAAGCTTCAAAACCTCTCGTGGCTTGGACAAATCCGCCGCGGTTGACTGAAAAGTCCGCTGGATGTAGACCTGCATTTGAAGCCGGAGGTACGTAAGATTGAGGATCCGCGAGAGTTATAGGAACGCTAAAGCAGTGAGATGGTGTGTGAGGAGTGTCCAGTCGTGGTGGTAAATTTGGTGTTGCGAGTCGAATTAAGTCTTCAGGCATGCGAGTAGAGGTTTCAGTCATATCTGGCTCTAGCTCTCGGTCAAGAAGAGAATCCGTTTCAGCATTCGGATATCGTCCTGGCATAAGTATGGTAGGCATGTAATTGTTTCGAGGAGGTGAAACAGGTGACACGTCCGAGGCAGTCATCTGGCTCACTATGTCCATGTCCAGAAGGCCCTGAGACACTTCACTCACGCTTGATGGGCTTCGAGCGTGGGAATTGGAATTGGAATTGGAGCGATTGTTGGAGTGGGCATAGCTGCGTGGTTGATAATAAGAGTTAAGGTTCGTATAAGCGGGAGCTGGAGCTGCTGGGGAGTAACCGCCATGTTGTTGTTGGTAATGGTGGCGAAAAGATTCAGTAACGGCAATCATTGTATCCGCGACATGCTGAATGGTAGCATTGGAACGATTGGTTTGTCGATGAGCCTCAGACTTCTCAGAGTCCTGTCGTGATACGCCTCGTAGGGGTTCCATTGTGAAGTTGGTGGGATGTGGTAAGCAGAACCAATGTTAGCAACGATCGCTTCTCCTCATTTCCTTCCTATTTATATCGATTATTTCTGTGAGTGGTTTATTTGGAAATAAATTGGAAACAAGACAATAGATTAGAGATTCAGAAGGAGCAATATTGATGAACTAGACAGCCAAGAGAGAGAAAACTCGGGAAACAATGAGACAAGACGTGATCAGGGACGTTTGGGGTAATATGTTGATAGAGAGGGTCGCGGCTGCGCTTACAGCCTGCAGCTCGAGACAAGGGTATTAGCCCGCCTTGTAAGTGGGATGGAATATTGGTCCATGGTAGTAAGCCGTCAGAGCTGACTCGCTAAGGTTGGCCTTGCAGTAGAAGCTCCTGCTCAGGTCCGGGGTTTAGAGGATTGGAGCCTGGGAGATTCCATCCATGGCTTATCCTTGTTTGGGTTTGGGTTGATATTACTAGGAACCGAGATTGAGGGTGGGATGGATCATGACGGCGAACCAGAAATAGAATTCATCAATCAAGCCAAAGTGAGAAAAGATATTTCGCCCCTCTTGTGTGTGGGCAGTGATCTACTCTCTAATTGTTGTGGGTAGAGTATCACATTGAGTGACCTAATGACGGCTAGAGCCTAGACTGAGTAGACTAAATCGCCATCGTGTTTGCAAAGTCGGTGATGCTTCAAATCTGGCGCTTATGAATAGTATGGATGTTTGGTCGGTTCGTGGATCGTCATCTTGTTGGTGATGTTGGTGAAAACGAGCCGTTGGTGTTGGTGATACAGTAGTCTATGGAGGGAAATGGAGGCAGGGGCAGGCGAAAGCGGCTGCGGCCAACACCAAAAAGATAAGTAGACCTTGGCGCAGGAGAAGAGAGAGAAGGCAAGAGCAGGAGCAAGGACAAGAGCAAGAGGCAAACGTGTGCTCCTTCCCATATTATCACGACATGATTCTCATTCTTTTGAGTAACCATCATAGGAAACACGCATTATCGTATACATCATGAATGTGACTAGACACCGAATTGGGTATGATTCTTCACGCATTAATGACGATCATGATCAACGTACGTTCATACATTCATGCCCCAGTCCATCACCATCGCACAGCCACTCGTCACTGTTGGGCTAACGTTTACTAGCGCATTGTTCACGTCTCACTCATCCTTCAGCACAGCCTCAGTGTATTGCAACCCATGTCTTCTTACCCTGGACATGTTCTTTGGTTCTTCCAGTCACGCTTCAGTACTAGCAACTGCATGTTTCAGACTCAACCAACTGAGTTGGAAGCGTTGATTGGTTTATATCAAGGTGTCGCAGGCAGATATCTAAACCTTGGGGTTTTCAAGTTTGTTGTCTGGTGAGATAAAAGACAGAATTCTTTCTTTTGCTCTTTGTCTTGATGAAGATCTCAAGCGTCATCACTTACCGTCTACCCATATTTTTACTTCCTGGTAAATTGGGTAAGCCAAGCCTCGTCATGTTTTGTCGATCCACCGACAGCAGAGCCTCCAGCTCTACGTAAACATCGCGTCTGGAACTATTTCTGGTGTTTGCCCATCTTCGTGGCTCTGTTGAGCATCCACGAAACAGCAGTGACTCAAGGACTCGTGACTATTATTGCAAGTGTTTGGCCAAGTTGTAAGGGAGTGACCGCAATTTGCTGCCATACAAGAAGGATGAATGTGCAGATCTAAAAGGATTCACACCATCCACTTCTTTCTCAAGCGAAATAACTGCCTCCATGCTCTCATCATTGTCGGTCAAAACACGGATAGTTAGCAAACAATCAAATCAAATGTTCACCGACAAATTGACTTCGGCAGTTCACCATTCTTAAAAAAGGTGCCGATCCTTGAGAGTGGAGATGAGCGTAGTTGAGATATTTAAGTCTATGTTGTGGTCTAGGTCGGCATGGGAAGTTTTGTTGAGCCAACGACTATTGTGTTCAAGCAAACTCTCACCGACCATGCAAGCTCGCAAGGTCCCGAAATAGGAAACAAAGAATGTATGGGTATCATGAACTACCGTCATATCAATGAACTACGTGAATCATTCCACGACCGAGACTATCAAGCAAAACAAGACTATGTCCTCGCCCGTGTGCGGTGAAACCAATTCACGTCTGTTGCTTGCTTTCCTTGACCCAAAGTTGCGACCCTCGGTCCAAGCCCAACACTTATCCAAAATAGCAAAGCATATCGCCATATCAGGGCCACATATCCGGTACTCCGCCCAAATTGGAACGTGGCCATGCCACACCATTATACCATGTTAAATGGTCTTTCGAGTAGCCCTTTAGGGCTTGGGAATGCGGATAGTCTTGCTGGTCATGAGGCAGCCGTGAATCATGAACAGGAGGACGGCAGGGTGAAACTCGAGGGCGGAACCCTGGAACCAGACACCGAAAGGGAGGTTGTCGTGAACCCATCGCTGAGAAAGCCAGTAGGCCATGATGGCATCCATACCGAGCGAAGTGGGAATGGGAGTTCCCTCGAAGTACTTGCTCTTGCCGGTATCATCCTTGGGCAAGACAGCGACAGTGACGTTGAAGCGAGCAAGACGAGTGAGGCCACACAGAACGAAGAATGTAAGACCAGCAGTATCGGCAACGGAACGGAAACCAAGGGTGAAGGCGACCATAGCGGGGGCAACACCGAATGAAATCTAGTTCTTAGGTTAGAACTCGACGGTCACAGCCAAAGGAACACGTCAACATACTAAATCAGCAAGAGAATCCAACTCTTGGCCCATCAGACTGCTCTTCTTCCTCCATCGAGCAACCTTGCCATCAAAGAAGTCGAAGAAAAGACCGAAAGGCAGGAAGAAGAGAGCAAGCCAGAGATTATCAAAATCCTTGGGATCGCCGAGTGCGTATCGTAGCGAAGAGAAAATGGACATGACACCGCATGCGCCTAGGATACGGTTTAGCAAAACAATCTAATCTGAGAGACGGTACCGTCGTCTCGGGTCCAGGTGTACGTACCGTTCATGAGGGTAATCAAATCGGCAAGGTGCATGGCACGCACCAGAGAAAAGTGTCCAACATCAGCAGAAAGAAGGGTCTTTTGTTTGTCAATGGCTATGGGGAACAGCAATGTTAGCTTCACGAGCCTGAACTTGCTTTGAATATCTCGGCATAGGCTGAATCTCACCTGGGCTGTTAGATGACATAACGTCCTTGGTGTTGCCGTTAGAGCCTGACATGGTGTTGCTCCTTCTAGACATATTGAGGCGAGCTACAACAAGGTTCGATAGAGCTGAAGCGGTACAGGTAATTGAGTTCGGGGGAGGGGTATCGCAGTCGCAAGTAGCTTCACGTCGGACGCAGGCGGTGTCTTCCAACAGATAGAACAGAGTATCTTCGTAGTGGTAGAGAAGTAGCGTTACTGGGTTAAGCGATGCTGTGTAAGCTCAAATTCTGTCAAATTTTCAGACGTCGAGAAGTTGTGGAAGGGAAAAACAAGAGCAGGTTTTCCCAGAAGTGGTTGACGTTGAGGATTGGCGTCGCGGTTTCTCTCTCACGGCGGGACATCCAACTTCTTCCTTGCTTGGGTGGATGCCGTCATTATGGGCGCTAGCGTTGATTAGTACACGTGATCCACGGCTTACAGGCCCAACGTTTTCACCCAAGTCACTCAGAACTAGTCACCCTCTAGCCATTGGAATTAGGTATTATGCTAATATTGTCACATGTGGTGATTAAGAATGGCATCAATGCCACGTTCGCATGACAAGCTGTAGGTACTCTTATTAGTTACATAACGATACGAAGTTCCTGCATCAGTATTGCTCAGCAGTTGTCACATTGGAGGTATTATCACATGCAAGATTCACATTGGCCCTGTCGTATTCGCACAGACGCTTCCTACACTCAGATAGGTTTATGTTAAGACCACTTTATACAAAGTTACACAAAATGTCACCACACAACATAACTGATTGGTATAGCATAAAATCTCAGACTCGATTTCAAGTTGAGATATATTCTGCGGTATTTATTCAGGCCTGCTCCTGTTCATGGTATAATGTGTATGCTTCTCCCACTAACTTGATATGCAAGTGTGTATGTATGTACGTGTGCAGCCTCCTTCGAGGCGGTGGACAAAAGCAAATACTCCCAACGCCGGACTCAGACAAAGGTCCCGAACAATGCTTGCGGTAGCTGTCTGGTCGCTGTAAGACAATTGAGTGTGTCTTAGTACGCAGGAAGGGCGCATACCGCCTCCTCCTTTCTTTATGATTACCAATTAATACTTCTTCTTCAGTGGATGACTCTTATCCTGTAGTTATCGTGTTCAAAAATTGCCGTAGAGGTGATTGTGCTTGCGTTCATCGTGTGATAATAACCGAGAAGCCGTCGAGCCACTGACCGCATGAGCCAGAAACACCACAGATGATGTATCCCCGAGGCGGTATCAAAGTGCGTCTAACCATGTTAGTAAAGTCAAGTTGATAATGGATAAGTAGTAGACTTACGAATCTCCTCCATGTGCATTGCCATAGATGGGTGACTTGCGACCCAAGCTTGTCAAAATTTGGATACCGTCAATCCAGAAACCGGACCGCACAACAAAACCGCTAATGTATTCACCGCGACGGACATCTGTATCATGTTAGACTCTTGTGCCCCTGTGATTCAATGGAGAACTTGCCGAATTCAAAAGTATCACCTCCTTCCTTGCCACCTTTCTTTCCAAACAACTGCCTAGAGTCATCGTCGTAGACGAACTCCATTCCATCGACGGCCATGCCATGGTAGACTACCACACGAGAAAGAATTCGATCTTGTTTGATGGCGCTAGTGAAGACAGCTTCCGTAGGCTGGGTTCCGTCCATCTTAGAGCAACCCATTTTCTGGCTTCGGAAACCATTCTTCCCATTCGCGAGCTTGACAAGCGATTCTTTTGAAACAAATTTCTTGTAGTCGTCAATATCGATTGACCCACCTCCATATGACTTGACAGATATCTTCATGGCACCCTTTCTCTTCTTGTCAGGCAATCTGCCTCGTAGCTCACTTTCGCTGAGTGTGACTTGTCGGGATGGAGTTCCTTGGTCAATAGGATACTCGATCCATGCATGACAGACATCATCGCCCTCGGCGTATATTTCGACGAAAAAGACACCAGTGGCTGCCATGACTAGGATGTTGCCACTCTCCACAGGGAAAGCCTGAATACCGGTGTCAGGGTTCATAGGAGGGTCGTTAGGGAGACGGAACGCCGGATGAGCTCGGAAGCGCAAGCAGTCAAGGCGATGCCAACCACATTCATCAGTCTGGAGCGCGACTCCACCCTTGGACTTTGTCCTTGTGCAGTAGGCCTCTCGGGCTACGAAAGTGCGGTTAAGTACCACATAGTCTCGCAACATGATGCCGCTCTCCTGGTGCGGGCATCCAAATAGATGTCCCGTCTCATGCATGTGCGCGCCGATACCGATATTGGCAGCTTCCCAAGAGCTTCCCGCTTCGTTACAGTCGTTGGCCACGTGGTTTGTGTCTGTTGGAGTACAGTCGGTGAAAGCAGGGACGACTTCTTCAAAGGTGGATGGGTAGCTGTGAAGACAGTGCGATCCGAATATTGCCAGCTGCAGATCGCCGTCTCCACCTCCAAGAGCAGCATGGCCGGTCACAGTATTTGCGGCCCTATCCCAATGAGAGTCCAAGAGTAGACACGAGACGTAGAGCTTTTGGCCGGGGAGTGGGTTGAAGTACTTCTTCACAGCCTCAGAGGCAATCTCATACAGAGCACCCTTTTCAGTAGCCTTTTCGTTTTGCTGGGCCTTATTAAGGTCCCGGATCTCAGCAGTGGTTTTGTCGGTGCGGATAATATGAACCCTGGCTTCGGAACGCATGGTGCCATTCTCTCGGTCACGATAGTTGGCCGAACCTGTTGTCCATTCTTCATCAAAACGGAATGCGCGCCGTCCAAGTTTGTTCCGCCACATCTGCTCCGAGGTGAATGCTTGCCACAGGTACGCCGCCATCCTGAACTTCTTCACGGCAGTCTCCAGTCCATTGCCCTCCTTTTCGGCCCGGGCGGGCGACGCATCGAATGTCTCTGGCGAATCCTTGGCAACTAGTATAGCAAGCTGCAGCGGCGGAGAATTGTTGACTGGGAGCATATGAACGGTAAGGTAGGAGGCGTGAATCGGGTTCGAGCTGTTACTATTGGGTAGTTTGGGACTCGAAAACTCGAAGCGCAACTTGTTTGGTCCTGGTTGCAAGTAAACCAATGCCTTGAAGTGAGAGTTGCAGACGGGCCAGCTGATCGCGGGAAAGTTATCGTCGAGCCGACAAACGTTGAGAGTTCCGTCGAGAACATGTTCGGCGGGGTTTCCAATTGTCCCATAAACAAGAAGAACCTTTTGGTAAACCTAGCACTTGTTAGCAATGATCGCTATGCAAAGCTGTCGTGGTTTGTATGTATTGATAGCATGATGTGTAATAAACCCCTGACGACATGGCTTGCACTTGCAGGTGCGCCACCAGATCGACGAGCCATAGAGCGATTCAGAACGGAAACATCCAAGACATACCCATGCATTTTCCGTTATGTTGACCAATCTTGGGGCGTACGGCGATGATGGTAGGGCCTGCCGTCCGTTGATTGAAGGCGCTCCAAGGCCCGACATGCCGGAAACGCTGTTGCGGTTCGAACTGGACGTGAGTGGTGGTCGCTGTACGATTTGCTGCTGACTTTGACTATGAGAGATCTGAGACTGTCGACGCTGAAGGTGCTGATCTTTGACTTGCAGATGTAGTGCAGGATCAGACTGAATATCGATTGATGGCGGCGTCAATGAGCCACTCGAAGGGGACTCTCCCTGAGATGCAGCGCCATCACTAGAAGTGTCTGTTGCAGAGCGATTGGTACGGAAACTGGCCCTCGATCGGCGGCGCAGGCTGTTGAGGAAGGTAGGGGCCATGTCGCCGGCGACTTAGGCCTGCTTTTTCTCGGGCTAATTCGTGATGTTTGTATTCAAGGGAAAAGAAAGGAAAGAAGTCGCGGGGAATGCAAGAAGCCGTTCAAGCGATCCGTGGCAGAGGGGATAAGACAGAACAGGAAAAAAGAGCGCGAGAGCGAGAGACTGAGTTTGTATGAAGTAACCAAGAAACCGGAGGGTCGAGAATCGAGAGAGGAGCCCGCGCTCGTATTGTAAGCTTGGAAGAACGAATGGGGTGGTAACGTAGATTTGTGGTGGAGTGAGATCCCGATTTTGGGGGGGTGTATCAAGAAGGCAAGCTATAAGATCACTAGCAGTCGCGGCTTCCTTCTTAGAAAAGTTTGGGAAAGGAAGGTTGAAGGTGCAGAAAAGAAAAAAGGAGGAAGGAAGAAGCAGAGAAAACGTGCAAGTACTACTCAGGTACTAAAGTACTAAGGACTAGATATGAGCAACAAGATAAAACAATCCATATTCAAATCAAAATCCACCCTCTTACTCTCGTTTTCATGGGTTATTTTCACCTCTGCCTTGGAAGATAACCCTCAAAGTCGACCCCGTCGACCCCTGGAAGGATCGGATGGATATGGACGAGTTGGGTATCCCTACCCATCCCTGTTGATTATAGATGGCGGAAGATGTTCTGTATGGAAGACAGACAATCTGGACGGCCACAACCGCGGGCAGCAGTAAAAGTGGCTGGTGCGTGCTTCTGCTCCCGCCGAGAACGTGCCAGCCAGATGGAGCTTGGGCCGGAGGATCCGCTGGAATTGGTGGGCTGCGGCCGTTACAACTCATCTCACCTCGACTCAACTTCAACATGCAGTCAGTAACTGAGTTTATTAGGTAGAGCTTGGTTAGAGTCTTTACCAATCACGAGTAGCCAGGCCACGATATAATGGTGGCTGGAAGACTAAAGTGGTTGAATTCGAGAAGACATGTCTGAGTTTCTGTATGTAGGCACTAGGAATGCCATGAATTTCATCTCTTCACTGGTCTCTATCCTATATCCGTAGGTTGATTAAACAGTCCCTTTGGCGCAGACTAATCCTTGTACAGGAGTCGGGCCAAGAAGCCAAGCACTCAATATTTGCCGAGTCGAGAGCGATCGTGATCCATGGTGGACTCGTGGGTTCTCTAACCAGGCACAACCACAACTTATCCAATTATCAGTGGAGCTTTGATATTGAATTCAAGCAGCCGCATCCGCATCCAGCGGGAACCCAATCTTGAGAGCAATAAACTCAACCAACGGCGTCCGTTAGTTGATGCGCATGCCTCTTCCCTTGCCGATAATGCTCAACACTCAATAGTCGGTGAATTCTCGCCGTGCAAGGTAGCAAGCAAGTGATACCTTATGGCTACTCTGCTATGAAAGCACTGATATTGTTTTAAAACATCAAAACGTCGTCACCCCTCAGTCGATGACGTCGAGACAAACAAGACCAAGCCCCTGGTCTCTCTACCAGCGTCTAGGCGGGACCATCCTGTGCTGGCGCCGATAGTAATAGACCATCCAACGAAATTGCGCTCTCATTCAAGATCCGACGTTAAGTTTGAAAGGATGCTGCAATAGTGTATGTGCATTCGGGGGATAAACCAGTTTGATGGTGGCATGATTGCGAGGCCTTGCTCAAATGCTGCTTTGCTAGCGCATGCGCCTCATGCACACAACTTTAGCAATGCGACACAACAGTCTTTCTCTGATGAGCGGTCCAAAGAATGGAATTCAAGGTTTTTTTCAATAGCTGAAATGGTGCGTATCTAACTTAGCTACGGCCATCCATCTCGTTTCAGATCTCGGGAGAATTCAAGGCACTGCTCGTCAGGGCTCCATACACTGTAACGCCGGTCGGGCATGTGAAAATTGGTGATACTTTTCATTTGGGGATTATCCTGTTTTGGATCGAAATTTATTCGCCCATCCCACATCACGATAAAATGAAGAGAAAATAAGAAAACAGGCACACGGCAGACATACTTTTACTACTATAGGTACATATGCTAAAGACAACGCGCATATCTTGTTAAACCCAAAGTAAAAGATCCACGTATGCAGAATGCACCTCTGAGGGGTATTTTACAAGGAGGGTGAGCTGATGGATACGATACTGGGTGATGACCAACTGACGACAAAATACTTTGTCCCGTGTTATGATCGAGACGTGGGCATTAGCTAAGTATGGGCAGCTAAGACATTTCTTTATTGTTATGCGTCATCTATAATTTGAGCGCATGGAATCAGAGACCTTGTCAAGCCAACACATCGACAAACTAGGTACGTTTTCCGGAGAGCACGACGCCGTCTCCGACTCGTCAAGGCCAAACAAAGTTCGTCTATCAATGATAAGAACCAGAGTTCTGCTTCCCCGCTTCTCCAATTGAGCAAAGATGTGTCTCTCCCAAACTCTCGTATGCTCTCAATGCGGTCGCTCGTCTTACATATGCCTTGTTAGGAGCCCGAGCGTTGATTGGCCAATGGCTTAATCATCAGTGACGGGTTGCTCAGACAGGAAGTTACCATTACATGGTATTGTATATCATTTGATGGGGTTCTCCTCAAAGTTTGATATCAATCATATCACCTTTCTGAGAGTTGACCAGAGAAGAAAAACTTGGATAACCTGGTCGAATAATTACCAGGTTATAGATGTTATAATACAAATCCGAATGCCAACTCTGACTACTTACCTACTACGATAAAATGTAATGAACCACGCACAGGATTGATAAGAAGATAACTCTGATGTGAGGCTCAATTGAATTTGATAGAGCAGCTGCATTAGGTAGGTCATCAACTTTACGCAACGAAAAAACAAAGGATTTTTTTCTTAACAAACTTGAACCAGCGTGCGAACCGTTCGCTAGCGAAATTAAGAGTATAGGAGAGCTCCGTGAAAATCATGCACGGGATCTGCCTCCTTTCCGCTTACCAGTATGTATAGAGGAAAGGAGATAGAATCTCTAAAATTGATCGCCAAGCCGATATTTGGTCAGCCAGTCCCTTGCATCGTGGCCAGTCCGCACCGAGTTTTACTGAATCTCGAAAACAATCAGGGGCCAATCAAAAAGAAGGATGATCAGCAAGGAGTTGAACAAAGAACAACGACAATAGACTTATGACAATACAGAGAAAAATAGTGTAAAACATCGTTGCATAATTCTAGTAGATGAATATCACGAATATGGATAGCCCAACGTCAACTCGATCTACAATGATAGAAGTCTATCAAAAGGTCCGATAGTATCCGTAGAGCTGTGAACCAAAAGCCCGGGTTGCATGGAGGTGTCTCTTCCGTTCCAACTGGGAAAGGAAACGCATTGCTGGCCCAGTAGCGTGAGATCGAGTGAGAAGGTATCATTGTGAAGTCTATGATTGGACAGCACCAACGTGCAAAGTGCATGCATAAATACTTTTTCTCAAAGTACTCAAGTACACTCTACTTGTCTAATTAAAAAAACTTGCAGGGTTAGTGGGCAAACTGGGGGTTTCGTTTCCAGAGGAATGTGACCAGATTTTGCGCGGTGGCCCCAGCGACCGGATACTGGAAGAAGCTAGTTGACGTATTGAATGTCAGATCTCATGTTTGGTGATGCCTTCTCGGATACTGAAATCTGGACAAGTTACAGTTGATGGGTTTCCCCCTCTTTCTTTTTCGTCTCGACTTGGAACAGGCTACTATACTAGACACTGTAGTATTTATCAGGTATGCACAGACACTAAGTGCATATCACGAGGTCTGCATAAGGATCATAAAGAAGAACAAAGCCTCAACAAAAGCAGTCAATGAACAAAGAAGCAACGATTGTTTACAACACAGATCCAAGCTCTACTAGCAGCTAAGCTCTCCCCTCCACTCTCCTCTAACTTTCATGCTGCTATAGAGGTCATTAATGGTTACCCGGCCGTAGTAGCACGGGGCCCAAACCGCCTCGGAAGTGTAAGTACTCAGTACTTGATGACGGACACCTGCAGAGCTAGCGGGGTCCACTTGAGCCAACTTTAGCAGGCTCCAGCTCCTTACAGGTACAGTACCTAGCTGTAACGGCCCCTCGAGATTGCGTCTGCATTGGATGCTTCTCTTTCTCTCCAAACTTTACTTTGATTCTTCATTCATTCACGCAAACCATCCACCAACCAACTCACCACAATTCACTCCTTGAACCATTTCTTGCGCCTCATCCAACCTGAACCGACTCTCAACCTGTCTACGAGTATCACCAATTATCTATTACAGCATTTTTAGTCACCTCGTCGATCGATTCGACCACTTAGTTTCTTTCATCTTGCACGGCGGTTGCCCCTAGCAGCAAGTGCACAAAGTGCAGCAACAGCAGCAGCAATGTCTTCACCGTGGAAGAAGCAACCAGAGGATGTCGTTGACAGTGTGCTTAAGCGTGCAGAAGTAAGCAAGGTAAGTGATTTAATTCTCTCTACTCAGATTTGATTTCGATTCAATTCTCATCTGAACTCTTCCGCTTCCCCTTGAAAATCACCTTTGACTGACACTTCCCCACTTCTAGATCGCACGCCGTCTGCAGAACCGCCTCGCCCTCGCAAAATTCAAGACAAAGCATGGCTGGGAAGACCTCACACTCGACTCCATCGAGCCCAAAGTCGAAGAAGAGTTGCGAAGAAAGCGCTTGGCCGAGCCTACAGATGTCCTCTCCGACTCATCATCAAGCGCATCCGATCTCCCATATCCATCAAGGGCTCTCATGAGCTCCCCGATGAAGGCTCCCCTATTCTCAGATGCGATAGGCTCCAGCAACGGCAGCACCGGCCATCGCAAGCGCACATACCTCGCCACTTTTCATGATGTCTCATCGAGCCCTAGCAAACGATTCCGACTCTCTCCTACAGCACACAAATCCTTCGGCAGCAGCAGTGTATGGAAGAACTCGCATCACATTGCACGATCATCCCCTCTGAAGCCCCGGCGGCAACAGCACTTCACTACCTCGGGCGGACCCGATGTCTCCTT